CTGACTTCATTTGGGGGACACACACACTGAGGTCCCTTCGCTGCACCAGTCTTGTCCCACTGTCTCATGTGGGAGCGAGAGGGACGGGGTGGCAGGACAAGGTGCTTGGCCTCAGCATCGCGCTGGGGTTGCAGGGTGCTGAGCCGCAGCCCTCCAGGACCCGCAGAGGGGAGAACCCCTCAGCTTCACTTATCTCCTGGTGGGGTGACGGGGAGCAAAGTTTAAGGACAACCTCCTATTTATTTTAGTCACAGTGGGGAATTTCAGACAGGCGCTGACCCTCACGCTGTTTATATAAGAGAGCAGCTCGGAGCTTGTGTGTGCCTTCTCCTCGCAGAGAAATGTAATGGGCTGGAGTTGCTTTGGAGAAGGCACATGCCTCGGGTCCCAAAAACTCCCCTTTGCTTTTGTTCTTTTGCAACTTGCAGGCACGGAAGGGAGAGAAGAGTCAAACCTCTAAATCTCTCCCCCTCCCCTGTACCCGTTACCTGGTTTATTAATGTTAAATAAGGAAGAGCAGTGCGCTCCTCTGAGCTGTGACATGCAGCAAATTGAATTTTACCCGAAATGCTTGTGTGCAAGCAGAGAGTTGTCAGTCTGTCTTGATAATCTTCACAAAGTGAGCTTTTAGCCTTGCTCTGCACATCAGCTCCGTAGCATTGACATGGTGCAGATAATTCGTGCTTTTACCTGTCCCCGGTACCTGCCTGCAGTTTGCTGCCTACATCCTGCCGCTGCTATTAAAAGCATTATTTATTAATATGGTTATTATTGATCTCACTTCAGTTAACCAGAGCAACCCGTGTGCGGCTGAGCTCACTGTTCTCCTCAGCAACACCCCCAAGTTGAGTGTTGTTGGGAGGAAGAATTGCACAATCCTTCCCTGAATGCTGCTTTGGATTGTTATTAGGAAAAATAATCAAAGGGAAACCTCACAATATTTAAGGCCTTGGGGCTCCTCTTGTTGGAACTAGGTTTATGTGAGCTATTGACCTGTGCAGAGAGATTTCCACTTGGCACCTCTGTGAGGGGGGAAGCGGGCTGATAGACGCGTGCCGATGGGAGAGAGATGTAAACAAGTAGTTCACCTCCTCAGCAACGCTTTAGTTATGTAGATATTAAATGTAAATGATGGTTCCATAACAAGAAAGTGATAAAGCCAGTCCTGGAGGGGTTTGGAAAGGACACTGTGTTCTGTTGGAGCTGAGAGGGCGTCAGGATGGATCTCTTCCCTTAAAGCAGGTTATCCTGTTTCAAAACTTTGGGGGCAGGTGAGAGGGAGAAGCCTTCTCCTTCAGCTTTTTTGGTGGCATCCCACTCTCCTACATGTGCTCTGGGTTTGACATCCCCAAAGCTGATACAGCTGCAAAATGAACTGGCAGCAGGAGGAGAATGAAGCGGCATCAGCACGGAGCGAAGGAGGTTGTGTGGAAGAGAGTTCAGGTGTGCTCATGCTGCTGTAGGATGAGGCTCTGCTTTGATTTTGCCTTTCAGCATCACCTCAGAATTCACAGGAGAGTGAGTTCCTTTACAAAACTTACCCATCTGACATAACATTAGGTGGAAATTGTCATGGTAGGTTAATAGTGAAGCCAAAATCTAATGTAATTCCATCAGCCCTGTGTTGTAGTGTTCTTGATGTCAGTGCTGTTTTGGTTGTAGCAGAACAAAGCTCATGATGTATCGCAGCAATAGGGACTCCTATTCCTAGCAAAAATAGCTCCTTGCTGGGATATTTCCCCCCTTTCTCCTGGTTTCCAGAAGTCTCACATGTCACAGGGAGAATAATCCTTTGGTGTTCACTTCTGAGTTTCTTGGTGAGAGCGCCCGTGTAGCTGGTGGTTGTGATTTCTGAAGCTGCTTAATGAAGCTGTGCTGAGCAACCTCAGGGCGAGGAGATGTGTGTCTTGCTCAGGAGCTGGTGCTGCGTCTGGGTGGTGGGTGGCTCATGTCAGACCATAGGCAACCGGAGGTCAGGCAGCTCAGGAGCAAGCCACTGCTGTGGGACTGGGACTTGGAAAGCGGCTACATGGGGTGACTTGAGGAATGGGTGGTGTGATAAGGGCTGAGGTTCCCCAGGAGCCTGTCCCAAGGGAAGAGTAACTCGAAAGAGAAGATGGCAACACAAAGGTGGTTTCTGGCCAGTCATGCAGTTTTGGTGACTCTTCCTGCCCACTCAGAAGCATAAATCCATAAACCACAATAATGAACTTTACGTTTCCATTAAAATCTTCCTCTGTTACAAAAGGAAGAATGTGAAGTCCCCTAAAATCTGACTCTAAAGCCGGTACCTTCCTTTGATGGTGCTTTTTCTTGCTGGGAGACTTTTTTGCTTTCTTCAGGGTTTATTCTGGGGAGAGGGGGTGAAGGTTTTGCTCCATGTCCTCTGATGTCCATGTCATTCCTCTGCCTGTGCTCACCAAGTGTTTCCCAGTCTGGGAGTTCATCTCTGTGCATCTTCTCTGCTGTGTTTCAGCTCCAAAACTTATGCATGTTTCCCCCTGCCACCACATAGAAAGACTTCACCCCTGAATCCCCGGGCTGCAAACAGAGCTGTCTGTCTATCCAGCAGGCCTTGAAAAGCAAGGGTGTCCTGTCCCATCCTGCAGGTTCAGGGTCCAGTTCCCATCAGGTCCCTGTCGGTTCTCAGGGATGATCCCATGGGATGCTCCTGGCAGAGGCAGGGATCTTCATCCCACCTCAGTCCATCTACGTCAGCATCCAAAACCCCAAATGCAGTTTGGGGATTGCTGTGGAGTACATCTCACGTGGGGCTCCTGGCAAATGCTCATCAATCCAGATCTCCTGAACCACGAAAGCTGCTCGCCCGCTCCGAATATTTGTCGGCAGCAGAGATAGCCCAGACCTGTGGCCTGGAGCAGGTGGAAATCCTCCACGGCGGGGTCAAAAGCATGGTTTGGTTCTGCAGCTTAAGCAGGGGGGGTTACTGCCAGGCTTAGAAATGGCTAAAAAAAGCCATTGCCTGGTTCTCGGGGGGACAGGTGGGGCTGGGATCAGCTTTCGGAGCAGGGAGCCTGCCCAGCCAGAGGCACGCATCCGTGCATCGGAAGGAGAACCACGGAGAGGGCAGATGTAGTAGATGCACGTTTGGGTTTTTAATAGCTGCGTTTGGGAATGTTAAGAACAAGCAGGGAAAAATCCTGCCCCACCCCCTTCATTTGCGTGGGTTTTGTATTAATAAACCCAAGAAACTTTGGAATTCTCAAACAGCAGAAAGCAAAAGATGTGCAAGGAGCTGATTTTCAGGTGTAGGAGCAATAATCAAAGAGTCGTGTCCATGGAAGTTTAATCAAAGGAGCAGGAAGCATTCAGACTGGGTCTGATTGTCACGGTTGGCTTTTGTTGAGCTGTTTGCTGTGTAGTGTCATTCTTCAGCTTTCTGAAGTGACAGCGCCCACACAGGAGTCCCCTTCCAAGCCTCCAGGGTTACCTCCAAACCCAACTTCAACCTGAAACCCCCTTATAGGTGAGAGTTTAGAGCAAATAAGCAACATGAATATAGCTCTTATGGCACGGGCAGTGATTAAAATTGAGTTTTCAGTGTTAAGTTGTATTGTATCTCTTAAGAAGCTGTATAATTGGAAGCAAACTTATTTTTTCAGTCCTGGATCTCCTACATGGGTTTATTTATAGAGGTCTGTGGGTGGGACTTTGTGTACTCTGAGCACGTTGGGTGGTATAGAGCCAGATTTTGGGTTTTGCCATCCTCCGAGGTCCTTTCCTGGCTCTTGCCAAGCGCCGCTGTTAACTGATGGCTCTGCAGAAACACAGAGCTCTGCCTGTATCCAAATGGATGTTGTCTGTAATATATTCATTTTGCTGTTGCTAACATGTTGATCAAGGAGGTGTTGAGTCACCTTTTATCAATCCCTGGGTGTCCCTGTGTCTTGGGGGGGATTCGGATGCAGCTCCTGGTCCTTGTTGGTTCACGTCTGTGTAACGCAGCGATGGGCTGGGGTAGCCATCAGCAGCTCCACCATCCTTGTGCCTTGCTGCAAGGGTTTTACTGTACTATGGGCTATAAACTGGGACTGCTTTCCTTCACGGCACCAAGCATCATTTTTGCAGCATGGCCTTTGATAAGGCTCAAGCAACTTTGCTGGTTATTTTGTGATTCATAAAACCATGTAGTGATTCATTATAGGTTGAGTTCTCTGTGCCTTAGTCAGAAAAAAACCCTCCGCTGATTTATTTTCTCAAGTGGCTACAGAGCTGGTTGGTGCCAGCTGATTTCTGTGGGACTTGGCTCTGTTCTCGTCTTTGGGTAGAGTCTCTGCATGCATCAAATCTGGGGTTTATTTAAATCATTTTTAGTTTCTCAAGTGCTTCTTGCAGCACTTGCTGTTGCCTTTATAAGCGCTTCAGGGCAGACCTAACATCCAGAATAACATCCTGTGTGTTATTTCCAAACATTCCTCGGTTTAGGTGTCTATACACTTGGATGATGAAAAAATGCACTTCATGCAACATGGTGTATCTGCTCCGTCTGTAACACTCTGGTCTTCACTCCTTCTCCCTGTTCTTTGTACTGGGCTAGGCTGTTTGCTTGGCAGTGTTATAAGTTGTTCTCTGACATGAGGCTTGCAGTTCTCTTCATTCCTTATTGCACGATTGATGTGTTCTGGCTCCCGTGTCTGTGGGAGCATTGCAATTTGTGATCTGGGGGGTTTACGCTGAAGCGTGTGGAGATGTGGGTATAAGCGATGGGGTCTGGACTCTCCGCCAGTTTGACAAACTTCATTTGATCGCTCTAT